TTTGCAAGGCCAACTTTCTGCGGGGACTAATTTTTCATGAATTTCGTAAAAAACACTACCCGAAGAGCCATTTTGCATTAAGTGCATACAGAACAAAAGACGATCCCTCTGATACCACGTGCCGCAGATGTAAATTAGAGCTTCGCGTTCACAAACTTTATAAAAGAACGACCGATTGAAAAGCATTTCTCTGATTGCTTTATTTTAGGTATGATAACTTCCTTTTCTTTCAAACTTGCTAATTTAAGTATCATTCCTCTAGAACGTACACAATGACTAATCGTTTCACATATGAAATCTTTGACTTTATTTTAAACCGTCTTAGCTTTAAAGGATGAATTGTGCACGCAATAAGATCAAAAACGAGTTGTTGTTCAAAGGCTAGCGACCGAACTAAATTAGAATGGGCCCTTCCGTCATGCGATGGTCCGTGCAGAAGCTGGAGAAGGCCATACCAACGCTAATTGGATTTTTGAAATTACAAATTATTGAAGGAGAGAGATTTTGGGATTTACAAATTTTTATTGACAAAACGAGAGAATTAAATGAGGGTTAAATCAGAAATCAACAGATACAGGTACTATATTTATTATTAAAAGTTGCACCCCATTTAGTACAAGAGAAGTGTGATCGAAAGAACTGGTTACAGGGTTTTTCGCAATACGTCCAAGTGCGAAGATTATGACAAAGCGATGGAAATCAACCTTACACAGTGGTTGGATAACCAATATGCGGAAAGAGCTACATTCGACCAGAATGGCCTGAAATGCATGGCAGAAACAAATTTTTGAGAAGATGGTTTTTTCGAAGGATTAACGATGTGAATCGTACAATTGAACGGATTGGGAAGGGTCCATTTGGAGTGAGGAAACAATTTTTTTTATTTCGAAGTAGGCGTGCATGACACGTGCCATTTCAAATTTCGCGGAAAGACGATACCACGTGCCGCAGATGTAAATTAGAGCTTCGCGTTCACAAACTTTATAAAAGAACGACCGATTGAAAAGCATTTCTCTGATTGCTTTATTTTAGGTATGATAACTTCCTTTTCTTTCAAACTTGCTAATTTAAGTATCATTCCTCTAGAACGTACACAATGACTAATCGTTTCACATATGAAATCTTTGACTTTATTTTAAACCGTCTTAGCTTTAAAGGATGAATTGTGCACGCAATAAGATCAAAAACGAGTTGTTGTTCAAAGGCTAGCGACCGAACTAAATTAGAATGGGCCCTTCCGTCATGCGATGGTCCGTGCAGAAGCTGGAGAAGGCCATACCAACGCTAATTGGATTTTTGAAATTACAAATTATTGAAGGAGAGAGATTTTGGGATTTACAAATTTTTATTGACAAAACGAGAGAATTAAATGAGGGTTAAATCAGAAATCAACAGATACAGGTACTATATTTATTATTAAAAGTTGCACCCCATTTAGTACAAGAGAAGTGTGATCGAAAGAACTGGTTACAGGGTTTTTCGCAATACGTCCAAGTGCGAAGATTATGACAAAGCGATGGAAATCAACCTTACACAGTGGTTGGATAACCAATATGCGGAAAGAGCTACATTCGACCAGAATGGCCTGAAATGCATGGCAGAAACAAATTTTTGAGAAGATGGTTTTTTCGAAGGATTAACGATGTGAATCGTACAATTGAACGGATTGGGAAGGGTCCATTTGGAGTGAGGAAACAATTTTTTTTATTTCGAAGTAGGCGTGCATGACACGTGCCATTTCAAATTTCGCGGATACTGAAAAGAGGGAAAATTACAACAACGGCTTCCTTAGTCAAAATAAAATCAGCAACGATTTTCGCTAGTCGGAATAAAAAGAACAACGCCTTTCGCAATTTGAACATAATTTCGGAAGATAATTAATTGGATCGGAAAAAGCAAGCTTTCAAGAATTCAACATTCAGGAATTCAGGAACTGAATTCAGGCATTCAGGAACTCAACATTCGAATTCAAGCCAGCTTGATTAACACTTTCCTATCTGTATAACTTGCTTTCGATGTGACGGTAGCTTACATTACGAACTTTTAAAGAACCGAGTGATCCAGGTTATCGAAAGATTTTTCTTAGATCAAGAAAAAGTTTTGAAAATGGCACACTTTTTCAAGAAGTCTTACTCTTTCGTGTACTTCACTTATTGCATGAATTGGGCTATATTTTCCCCAAAACTCGAAATGGTTGACGTAAATCAGCAAACTCGAGTTGAGAAAACTATTACTTTGATGTGAATGCACTGTTCACATATCTTACTCCATGCTATTAAAAGAGCAATGGATCTATAGTTACTTACGTCCAATTTGGGCCTTTCGCTAGAATGGTAGAATAACCGCTTCTTTTAGCATTTCAGGAATTCACCACTTAAACGATTTATTATTCAAAACAGTCAGTACCTGTGCCACTGAATATGTACTTGCTTTGACAACTATGTTGGTTATTTTATCGGTATCTGATAACTCCTTGTTTTCCAATTTTGATATATTTTTTTTCCCATTCCAATCATATCAACTTCTGATGGATTTTCATATGAAAACCACTTACGCTCGGTATTTTAGCAATTTTATCCCATATTGGCAAAAAATTCATTGAGCTCTGACGCCATCTTGTCCACGGAAGAAGTGGTTTCATCATTAGTCTTTAGTATTGAGCAAATGCTCTGTTTTTTTCTTAATGATTACTTCTAGTTCAATTGCTAATTTGCACCTGAACATAAGTTAAGACTACTATGGTAATAGTCACCTTGCTTACACTTACGGACATCTCTTTCAATTTTACTTGAAAACATTTTAAATTGATCTCTCGCTGCTTGTTTTTTTTTTGGTTTCGCGACCATATTTGATGAGTTCGACTTTTTTGAACATGTTTTTTTTGACATAAATTGAAACGCAAGGAAATTTTGGCTTATTCATCATTTCGAATGTTAAGAGAATTACTTGATTTCACAGGTGGTGCCAATTTTTCAGAATTCTTGAGTAAAGTCATGAAATACTTTGAACGAATTTGATACAGATTTCAGTTAGATTTCAGCTGCTCTGTCAAAAGGATATTCAATTTTTTTCACTTTCTGTGTGGTTGATTCAACAAGGGATGTATCAAGAAAATTAAAACGTGATACTTTCATGCTTATTTCTGCTTCCGAAAATATGAGCAAAATTGAATGTGTATCTGAGCATGTTTGATAAGTGTTTAGCGAGGTGTATACTCTATTCCCGTTTTCAACAAGTTTCAACTATAACTAAGAAATTTCTCTGTGAGATTGTTTCTCGGCATATCAATGTTGAAAACGCCGCACACTTTCACAAGGTATGATTTTGCGGTTAGATTATTCAATTCTCTTTCCCGATTCCCTAGGATGGTACTAGTCACCTTACAAATACGGACATCGACATCTATTTCAAATTTACTTGAAATCATTTAAAAACGATCTCTCGCTGCTTGGTTATTTTGGTTTTGCGACCATATTTGATGAGCTCGACTTTTTTTGAACAAAGGATTTTTGACATAATTGAAACCCAAGGACATTTTGGCTTTATTATCATTTTGACTGTTAAGAGAGTTACTTGGTTTCACAGGTGGTGCAAATTTTTCAGAATTCTTGAGTAAAATCATGAAATACTTTGAACGAATTTGATACAGGTTTCAATTGGAACTCAGGTTCTCTGTCAAAAGGAGATTCAATTTTTCAATCTCTGTGTGGTTGATTCAACAAGGGATTATTCCAGAAAAGTAAAACGTGATTATTTCATGCTTCTTTCCACTGCCGAATATGAGCAAAATTGAATGAGTATGTGAGCATGTTTGATAAGTGTTAACCGAGGTGTTTATTACATTCCCACTTCAAGTAAAAAAAATGTGATCGAGCAAGGTTTCACTTTGAGTACCAAATCTAATAAGTTCTCTAATAAGCTGATCGAAACCACAAGTTTCAACTATAACTAGAAATTTCGCTGTAAGATTGTTTCTCGGCACATGAATGTTGAAAACGCCGCACACTTTCACAGGATATGACTTTGCGGTTAGATTATTCAATTCTCTCTCCAGATTCTCTAGGAAAGAGAATTTTTTGCCAGTTTTACCGATCTTGGCGGACTTTACACCACGATAAGGAAAAGTTTGCTTCTTGATATTCCCTAAGTTGTAACGATTGTACAGCAAAAATCGTTACCGAACAATTCCTGAGATTTCGCAGGGCTATTGGTAAGGTCTGCTACCCTTCTTCGTGATTACAGGAAGACAGCTCTTCGATCGGATTCGAGAATTCGGAAGTGTCTAGTTAAAAGACTCAATACTGAATTTTAACAAATTTTAGCTTCCCGGAATGCCTTGAACTGAATTTAAATTCATTTTTCAATATAAGAAGCTGGGAGTAGAGGAAAAGGTTCGATCCATCTCCAATTGATCTGTTGATTTTTATCTTCTGAACAAAAACAATAAAAATATGATAATTAAGTAATAGTCCTGTTTTTAGGAGTGACCGCGTGGTCTGGGGATACTGAGACCTAGCCATGAGCACCTTATTTTTGCATATAACAAATTAATTTGCGCGGTTTGGCCGATAGCCTTAATTGGTAATGATTTTGTCGACCCGAATGTAACAGTCGTCCTCTTATGTCACATATGAGGTTAAGAAAAATAGGCCCTCAAACTATTGGCTCAAGGGTCAGGGACACTATCTCCTGTGCTTTTGTACCTCTTTTGTCGGGGCCAATTGTTTGCTTAAGACATGGACTACAAAATTGTGTTACAGCTTAAAGGCCACAAATAAAATACCCCTCCTCCACTCTAGAAATTAGAGCGTCCCCATGGCTAGGTCTCTAATTATCTAAAACACGCGAACCCCGTTAGAAACAGGGTTCGAAATTCAAGTATACCAATAATTTTCATATGACAGTGGACCTATGATCTATTTCAGATGGATCAACTGAAAACCCGCCTTGTCTCAAGATCATCGTGTAAAATACACCCAAAAAATAAATTCAATACTCACATATTGACATGACTCTAGACAATAAAATGACTCTGGAGGTTTTAAGTAAATTGTTTTGACTCCAGTACTTTTATTGTTTGGGTCATTGGGCAGCTTCACTCGTCTACCTGACAAATCAAGGTTCTCTTTTGTCCAGCGATGACACTCTGGTATGAATTCGTGATGTTTTCTTTCGGAAACAAGACAGCTCTACTCCAATTGACGATTTAAGCAAAACTGCTAGAAGCAATTTCACTCGTGCACAATTTTTTTTATCAACTTTGCCGCAATTCTAATTCGAGTCTTCTGATAATCTTGATTCTTATTTCAGTTGCCGCAATAAACTTGAGCATAACATGGTCAATTCGAAAACGGGTTTCCCCCAAAATCAAGGTCAAATTTCCGAATATCACCGACTGACACGTACTCCCGGACTCAAGATCGATGTCCTTATCGTGCGTCGTCGTCATGTGAGTGAGCCTCCAGAATGTTGAGTGCGTCTCAAGATACAGTGCCAGTGGTCATTTTTAGAAGTTTGCTGCAGACTCAACCTTATCTACATCCCCAAAACCCATACATCCTGTAAAAAAACTGTCCTCCCAGGACTCGAACCCTCGACTCTAGGGTACAAGCCATCAGCTTTACCTCTAAGCCAAGTGGGAAAACTAATAAAGCAACTTCATTTTTTTGAAAAATTGTGTAAAAATTGTTCGCGGGGGGAAAAAGTCTAGTCCCCGATTAAAAGACACTTGCTCTCGCAAGTGTAAGAAGAGTTCTATGATTGGCTTTAAAACCATCCGATTAGCTAAGAATCAATTACAATACATCGTATGGAACAAAAACATACATCAAGTTCTTCCTCCTGCTTCAAATTCGCTTATTTTAGACACCTGAAAAAATAACTTAGGTTAATTCTACCATCGACACTAGGTGAAAAAATTCTTACATAAAACACTTTGGAACCCCCGTTTTCAATAACACCATGGGACGTCGGACAAAAAACGCGCATTCGAAAGATACATAAAATTAGCTCGAATAAACTGTAATATCATTGGTATGCGAGATGGTGACATATTAATTGACAAGAGCTACAAATGGGTATTTGCAAATGAGAAATTACTTGACGCCGATATTATCGGAGATGCGAACTTTTTATGGTCATGTGGATTACTCTGAAGAGATGCCAGGACCAGAGAGAGATTGCAGATATTAGAAAAAAATCCACACTGAAGACTCCAGCAAGTTGTCTACGGATCTTGAGCGTCCCAAAAACAAAATGATATTTCCAGATGCCACAAACTGCTTGCGAAGATTATTCCAATCTGCTTTGAAACTGAACGTCAAATAAAAGAAAAACTAGTGGGAAAGAATTCAGAAGAGTGATTGTGTAAATACTGAATTTTGGCATTCAACTTATTTAGTGAAAATATTGTCCTGCAAAAGCTGCTTGATAATGATATTGACACAGAGGAAAAGTTGCACTTCACATACACAAGCAAAATATGACCGTTAACACTACTGGGGAAAATTGAATGAGTAAAACTTTGAGTCTACAGAAATACTTAAGTGACGCACGCCAATTATGAGTGTACATAATTGCTAAATGACGCAAGCCATTTATGACGCATTAGCAGTACCAGTCAATTCGAAAAAAAAATAAACTTACCAATTAACATGCCTCAATTTATAGAGCGGACGCATTTTAACTAATATACCAAAAAGTTTATTAAAAATATCCGAACCTGCCCAGATTCAAACCCTCTTAATTTGTTGCTGGTCTCCTTCACTGCCTCTACGCTAGATCCATGATACCTTGAAGCTAAAGTGTTATTTGTAATATAAAAGTCTGTGTTAATATCCTTAGCATTGGCTGTACTTAAAAGCTGCTTATTGATCAAAATGAACACTTTCAAAATGAACACATTTTGTCGCAACAATATTTGCGACTTAGGTTGGAAAAACAGAGTTCATACTATCACACAAACTTGCTTGTAAAATCAGTGGCGTGATTAAAGTAAAGTTCGTTGTATGTTGATTTAATTTTAGCTGAAGTAATCACTTAGCTGAAATCTACCATCGACACCAGGTGGATAAATTCTAATATAAAGCCCGTTTTCAATAAAACCATGGGACGTCGGACAAACTAAACATAGCCAACTGACAGTTGCAAAAGAACAATGAACGCAAGGAAAAGAGTACGGAATTTCGAAGAAGAAAATAGATGGCCTTAAAGCTCTATGAACTTCTAGAACAATCTATGATGGACACTTCTATGTTAAAGTTAACCCAATTTGAAAAAACTAGGTCAATATGTAAAACTTTTATTTCGCCGGGAAATCTGATAATTAATTTCCATTTTCGAAATTAGAAGTCAATCACATTTTTGTGACCTTTACAATTTTGCTGTTCAATAGTTGAGTTTGCCTTCCTTTTAACAATAGAAATTCAATGAACTTTTAAAAAAATTACAAGTCAAACCGCGAAAAACCAAAAATTGAGCATGAACAAATTTTAAGAACTTTTCCTAAAAAAAAAACAAAACAAAAATTAGCAAGACATATAAAAGAGTAATCACCATGTGCGTTACTCTTAAAAACACTCATTCACAAGTTGGCCTCGAAATCAGTGCAATATCTATATATTTGAGACACCTAAAAATTAAGTCTCATCAGAAAAGACAAACTTTCTTCACACTCTTCGCCGAAACTAGACACCGTTTTTCTTGATACTGGAAAACCCGTTTAATTTTTTTGTTTTGACGAGAGGTAAGTAAGACACGACCTGGGCAGATAATTTTACTAACTTGGATTATCGTTTGCATGATCTTTATCGTCATCATCTCCAGCCTTTTCTGCTTCACTCGATGAGGTTATCTGCTTATCTTTCTCAGTGCCATGTCCATTACATGATCTGTTATACCAGCACTGGTGTACGCAGGAGCTTCTGGAACTCCACCTCGTACTTGAATTTGCAAGGCCAACTTTCTGCGGGGACCAATTTTTCATGAATTTCGTAAAAAACACTACCCGAAGAGCCATTTTGCATTAAGTGCATACAGAACATAAGACAATCCCTCTGATACCACGTGCCGCAGATGTAAATTAGAGCTTCGCGTTCACAAACTTAATAAAAGAACGACCGATTGAAAAGCATTTCTCCCATTGCTTTAATTTAGATATGATAACTCTTCCTTTTCTTTCAAACTTGCTAATTTAAGTATCATTCCTCTAGAACGTAAAAAACGACTAATCGTTGCACAAATGAAATCTTTGACTTTATTTTAAACCGTCTTAGCTTAAAAGGATGAATTGGGCACGCAATAAGATCAAAAACGAGTTGTTGTTCAAAGGCTAGCGACCGAACTAAATTAGAATGGGCCCTTCCGTCATGCGATGGTCCGTGCAGAGGCTGGAGAAGGCCATACCAACGCTAATTGGATTTTTGAATTTACAAATTATCGAAGGAGAGAGAGATTTTGGGATTTACAAATTTTTATTGACAAAACGAGAGAATTAAATGTGGGTTGCATCAGAAATCAACAGATACAGGTACTATATTTATTATTATAAGTTGCACCCCATTTAGTACAAGAGAAGTGTGATCGAAAGAACTGGTTACAGGGTTTTCCGCAGTACGTCCACGTTCGAAGATTATGATAAATCGTGACTCAAGAAATCGTGACACAAGGGCAACTGACAGAAAAGTAAGACCAACTTCGAATTGCGGAAAAACTTTAGTACCATTAGTGTGCCAGTCGGTCATAATTGGAAGTTTGACTTTGAGAAAAACGTTGTCTTGATTTTGGGGTGGAATGCAATTTTTCAAAAATTCGAATTGAGCATGCTATGCTCAAGTTTCTCGCGAGAACTGAAAATATCAGAAAAACAAGATCAGAAGATTCCAACTACAATCGCGGGAAACTAGTCAAAAATAGCAGCGGGAAATTCGAGTGGACCAGAGTGAACCTTCGGTGGAAAGCTGGAAACCGGAGTCTCCCAATGGTCCAGACCCAAAATTTATTTCTTGAGCTAAAACTAATTCGTTACAAACTTCTCGAGTTAAACTTAATTACACGTCACTTCTAGAGTTGGTTTATAGTTTAGTTACTCGATTCCAGAGGTCCTGTCGTTATGTGAGTGCCAAATTTAATTTTCTTGAGTGTGTTTTGTATTGTTATGTTGAGTTAGGGAGAGATTTTGCATTGATCTATCTGAAATGGATCAAAGGTGCACTGTCTAAAAAAAAGTAACCATACGTAAGGTTCCGACCCTGTTTTTAACGGCGTTCGTGTTTTTTAGTATTTTGAGACTTAAGTATGGGATCGTTCTTACTTTCTAGAGTGGGAGGGGGGGGGGGGTACTTTGGTTGTGGCCTTTAAGCTGTAACAAGGGTTTCAGTCTCATGTAGCAAGTGAACCGAATTGGCTCCAACCGCTTGAGGTAGAAAAACACAAGAGCCAAAGGCGTATTTTTCATTAACCTCATATGTGACTTAAGTAGGCGACTGTTTACATAGTGTTTTTATGGCGCACCTGGGTGTTTTACGACATCAAGTCAAGACTACGGGATCAAACCCACTTGACACCGCTCTGGGCTACATGCCCATTCTAGAAGACCGATGGAGTGGTTCAACGGGATAGTATTCACCTTTTGGTTGTTTCGCGTTAGCTTTTTAAGAAAACTTGAAAAAATTACCCGGTGCGCTTTCCGAAACGAGGCCTAGCTAACCGAGTAAGGGTGTCAGTTAGAAAAAAAGGGTAAAAGAGAAAAAACGAAATGAAAAACAAAAAAGAGAGACAGAACAAAACAAAAAACCAAAAAAAAGATTAGAAATACAAACGAAAAAAAAACATAAAATATTAAAAGGACAGTGACTTTGACTTCCAGATTAGGTGGATCAAACCTTTAAAATGATTAAAAGAGTATACCAAAACTGTTTTCCAATAAAAACCGATCGTCTCGGTCAAATCAGCAACTTTTACAGGTGCCCAAGTGTAAGGTTTTCAGAGAGCTTTTGATATCAGCGGACCACTGGGAGACTTGGCTGGAAGATTTGCCCCGCGAATTGGGAAACTTGACCACTGGGAGACTTAACTGGAACAGGTGACCAGCCAGCAGTGTGATCAAAGCAGTACAGAGCCAACGGAGGAAGATTTACAGAAATTCTGTTTGATCAAACGGGTATTGTTAAACTCCATTTTACATTTTAGGAAATAAGTGTAAAATTGAATAAATGAAAACCCACCGTTTTGAGGAAACGTTTTTACTTGAGCAGAGCTTGGAAACAGGTTCTACGGTTTCCTCTCGAGAGGTTTAGCACCCATCGCACTTAGGTAAATTTTCGGCTTAAGTGGGGGGCTAGATAGGGGGAGGTTAGAAAAGGCTGGTTAAGATAGAGATTGGAGGTTGAAAATTGAAAAAGGGGGGACACATTATAGTCTTTATACAATCGATATCGTCGATTTAGTTACATTCGTAGACCCAGAGTCTGAAACAATCCATCTTTAGACTCAGACCAAGAGGTGCAACGCGAGGATATCCAAATTTAAGATCGAATTAAGGTAAGTAACAAGTCGTATATCGACTTGCGTCGGATTAATAATGGGAAAGTAATTTCAGGGTGGTTAGCAGGTAAAGTTTTGATTAACAAGATTAGGTTTTGGGGATTTTTTTTTAACACTAGAGCTCTAGAGGTGGTAATGAGATAGTGGATTAGAAATTCCAATGCGCGACAGGGGAAATCATCAATCAGCAGAAGAAACACTTGAGCTACCAGGTTGGAAGAAGTGCAAAGAGTCTAGCCTACGGTCTTGGAATAGTGATCTTAGTGTCCCAACACTCAGTCTTGGGATAGTGATCTAAGTGTCCCAACACTAAGGAACAGGAGATCCGACTGTCCCAACACCGACGAACAAGACATCCAACTGTCCCAACACTTGAGCGAAGTCTCCTGGGAGGGTTCGGAAAAGTCCTGGGACAGTACGAAGTGGACCAACACTCGAGCGAAGTCTCCTAGGAGTTTTCAGAAAAAGTCGTTGGACAGCACGAAGTGTCCCAACACTCGAGCGAAGTCTCCTAGGAGGGTTCAGAGAAATCCTGGGACAGTACGAAGTGTCCCAACACTTGAGCGAAGGGTCCTATGGGGGGTTCAGAAAAGTCCTGGCACAGTAACGAAGTGTCCCAACATTTGAGCGAAAGGTCCAAGGAGGGTTCAGATAAGTCATGGGACAGTAACGAAGTGTCCCAACAGTTGAGCGATGGGTCCTAAGAGGGTTCAAAAAAGTACCGGGAACAGTAACGTATCGTCCCAACACTTTAGCAAAGTGTCATAGGAGGGTTCAGAAAAGTCCTGGGAAAGTATTAACGCATCCCAAAACTAGAACAAAGATTTAGTAGAAAGCTTCGTTCTCATCATCCCAAAACTAGAAATTGATTTAAATTCAAAGTTGATCTAGACTAAACTCGACTGATTTTAGCTTTCAATACAATAGAAATTTTTTAGATATATAATGGCAATCGGATTTTACAATAGAGATTTGTAAATAAAAAAAATTGTATATAAAAACCATGAAGCAAAATAGGGTATTGATAACTGAAAAAAGAGTAACAGGGCTAAAGCAAAATCATACCTCGTCGCAACGGAAAACAACACTATCAAATCCGAAAGTATTGAGAAAGAATATTTCAAGGAACATGGTCAATACAAGAAGCGGAAAGGAACATAAGGCCAAGGAGAAAGCTATAGCAGAACCAACTGTTCCGGCTAGAGAAATCGATCTTGAGACACCAGATCAGAGTATTGACGGCGTGGAAAGAAAAACCACGGAATCAACACCAATGCCAAATGCAGAAGAAAAAGAAAAGAAAACGATAGAGTTCTCACCGATTGACAAAGTAGAGGAAACAACAAGCAACACGCCGGAAACGATAAAAGACTATTCTCAAACAAAAAGAACGTCGTTCACAGAGAGGATTGCAGCGATGGTCGGAATGAAACCAAAAGAGAAAAAGGAGGTGATACCAACGACCGAGAAGGGTAAACGTTTTTGAACAGTTTCCGCAATTACAACAGAGGCAAACAAAACGAAGAGCAGATCACACATGGAGCAACGGCAAATCAAGAAAAAACAACTTCACTTGAGCTGGGGCGATCTGATGGCAAAAATGGAACAAATCGACAAGACGCTAAAACACAGCGAGTAAGACCACCAAGAGCTAAAAAGCGAAGTACGACAAAACAAGAATGAGTACCTAGGCAACTACTTTGTCCTGGCAAGTGCGACGGACGAGAAACTACAACAGATGTCGGACAAGGTAGAGGCTACCGACAAGGAGCGAGAGAAACAGATCAAGAAGGATATGGAGGAAATGAAGAAACAGTATGATACCGTGAATGAGAAATTAGGGAGTCTAGAGACGAGAATGGATATAATGGGCATAGTTCAAGCTGAAGGTTCTTGTGCCATACAGTCCAAACTGGATGCTCTCTTGAGAAACCCAATAACCCAAGACAAAGTAGTGGTGGAAAAACCATCCGGAACTAAAGTTGACTTTGTGGAGCCACAACGAAAGAAACGAGAATCTACACCGTTAGTACGGATTGATAATACCATGGTATGAGGTGGGAGCCTCAAACTCGACAAGGACGACAGAAGAGTCAGCGTCACATACGGGTGTACAACCAGATGCCATGACGTGGGCCAATACCTGGGAAATGATGGACAGGACGCTTGAAGCATTCGCAACAAGGAACACAGACTCAAGTGACAGAGGCAGTGGCAAATCCCGGAAAAC